AGCGTGAAGTGTGCCCTCTCGAAGCACGATGTACGAAGGTGTGCATTCTCACACGCGCGCCGCTACCATCAGACACGTATTCAAAGACTCCGACATCTCAGTGACTGCGTTCGATATCGTAAAATGGTTACTAAGGAAAATTTCGGTTAGACTTAAACTCATTCGCGGTAAGAAGCCAAATTTAGGGTTTGTTACTTCGACCACATCTTTAAATCAGTCCGCTCAAAATTTTTTTTCAAAAATTTTGTCGAGCAGGAACTTGATATTCCTTCTAATTTTGTAGATGTTGAGATAACTTATTGTCAAACAGAAAATGCTGCTCTTTCGATTTCATTTTTACCTTCCAAAGCATTCTAGATCGGGCTGAAACCACAGAATTTCGAATCGCAAAAGCGAATCAAACGCTTCATACATACCGCTCTATTTATATCGCTGTAACAAAGGGTTGCAGTATGTGTGGAGGGTTTGTGGTTGGTCTTGTAGCCGTTTGGTTAAGAAACTCCGTAGATAAAGAGTACCTATCAAACAAGTCAGGAAATGTTTGAAGATATCGCACGTATGCACGGTGACGTCAAAGCCGTAGGAAGTGTGATTGCACGCAGAAGGCGACCTCTATTTTTCTTTGCGTCAGAAGGGTCATTTCAATTGAAACTTAAGTGAACATATTGGAAGTGAATTATAATTCGCTCTTTTTTTCCGCGATGCAAATTTATGGCTTTGTACGCCGCTTCCGAGCTGAGTGGCTAATTTCCATGCTTTTTCTTTAGGCTCAAGGTAGCATCTGATGCGCTTACGCGAAAGAAAGAACGTAAACCGGTATCAAAATTATAAATTTGGCCGCTAACACCTGGACGTGATGGAATGGTAAACTTTGATCGAGTGCGTTTTAATGAAGGAAATGATGGAAAGTTTTAAAACAATTGAGAATATGCGCGAATGTTAGACTCGCAATGGTCACAACGAGAGCATTCAGTACCTTGGAGTAAATGAGATTAATTTTTTAAAAAAAATATTGTACTTTGGACAGCTTTGTAATGAAGAGCAGAACATGGTGGCCACCAGTTTCCGCATAAGTATTTCCGTATACTGACGGCGGCTTTACAGCACGTATAATATTGCGCAAAACGCGGGCGAATTCGTTCACGTGATCTCCTTCAGGTCAAGTGAATTTTGCGTGGGTGTTTTGCGAGTCGCACCCAAATGTCTTGTGATTGTGGAAGTGTAAATTACGAGCTTCGAGGCAAATTATGGAAATTTTTCGGGTGCTGTTCGACGGTTTCGCAAGTTCGGTGAATTTCAAAGGGATATTAAAGTTTTTCGAGGGACTCATTTGACTGTTAACCGGGTTTTAGACCCATAATAAATCTCGCAGTGACAAACAACATTCCTATGTTTCCGCAACGATACACAGACGCGCAGAGCTGTGCTTTGTTCTTGACTTCCGGGTCTGCTCCATTTCGTGTCAATGCAGCCCTTCTGTTCGTTCACGAATGAACTCTTCTTCACGGTTATGAGTCACATTTGTGAATTCGTCTCAGAATGACCGCCTCCTAACTAGAGAAAGTCCACTTCTGAATTCAAATTACTCGAGCGAAACAAATTACTCCTTGCTTGTAAATGCAAATAATCTCTCGCTGAATGTCTTGCTACGTAAATAGGCAACGTGAAACTTGAATCTGAATGACTCCAAAGCGTTACTTAGGGGGAGTACGTTGAGGGAGATTCTCTTTCGTAGCTGTCAAGGTTTCTTGATTACTTCTAAAAGGCCTATCAGGATTTTTCATTCGTGAATGTTAGTTTTTTATTACTCCCGTGCGAAATGGAAAAATCTTTGGCAATAACAAAACGCTACTAAGTAGAATCGTATTTTACCACCCCCTCCCCCCCCAGTGGTTAATTTTGTCCAATAATCCCTAGCATATTTATCGACTGTTGTTCGTGGTTTGCTCGATCCTGCATGTCGAGTCACTAATAAGCAAGCTATCTTTCCGCCAACCATTCGGCTCTAGAAATGCCCTATTACTGCTCTTTAAGAATATTTAGCAAGGAGAAAAAGAAGAAACGTCGGCGAAAAGGTAATCAGGCCGAACTGAATCGTAATATTTCGTTAGTATTAGCTCGTATGCCTTGCGTGAAACTGCTTCACAATAATTTGAACTTTTATGATATATTTACTGTTAGCTGCCGTTCATTACTGTAGTTTGGTGAAAGTGTTAAAGCCAGAATTCTTATTTATGCCCAGTTGTTCGGTTATTCCGCTCTAAGCGACTGCAGAATTCATTTTGGATGGTATTTTGGAAATCGAGACGACAATTCGTGGTGTAATTTAACGCAACGAAAGCCACTAGCTTCCTGATCGGTTGCATCTTCTTCAGTTGTTATCGTTTACGCTGAGCGGTTGAATTGAGCTCTCATCGACAAACCCGAAGTCGCTGTCAATCCGGTTCGTTTTTGTTTCGTTTCAAGGATTCAACAGAAGATTTGTAGGACGAGTGAAACCAACAAACTTGTTCGTTTCCGCGCAGGTACGCGCCATATCCACGAAGGAGAAGGAAAGGCGAAGCGTTGACTATCGCTATTTTTAGCATTTTTTTGTGAAACCTTTCACATTGTTGAATGGTACAAAAGTTCTTATTGTTACCCAAGGGCTAATAATCTAAAAGGATGAAGGTGTAGCGGCAAACTGGACTACTAAGCCAAGGACCATCTCTATGTGCATCTCTTGCCGCTCAGCGTTTGCTTAACATCGTACCTTGGGATCGGTCTCGAAGCTTTTTATAAACTTCTACGTACCCAACGGCTGTGCGTGGTTACTGCGCTTCTGTAAGCGTTTAAAGCTGTTAAAATGTCGAAGTTTCCTTAATTGCGATCAATTTTAGCGAGTTTTTCGTCACAACGCGAAGAACCAGGTTTTATTCTGAATGCTTTTCCGCGTTGCGGGGAGCTATGGTTTCCATTTAGTTGGCATTGAAATGAGGTGGCACGCACAATTATTAAGAAAATATAGTCTTATCCGAGCGATCTTCCGTTTGTTCTGACGAAAGTTTCTTTCTTTCAGATGAAACCCCTGATATGGGTGATAGTCCTGCTGTGAAAGGAAACATAGATGGCGGTGAGTTGGCTTTTGGACGAAAAATTATTTTGTCACGTAGCGGGTCGCATTGGGTGAATATTTCCGGGAGCAAAAACAGTTCTCTCGAAGTTTCTTCCGGGAACAGTGTAGACCGCTCTTTGTTTGCTTAAGAGTTATACCTCCTCATTATGGTTAAATGACCTTAGTTAACTGACTTTGCTTGTTTTCGCCGAGGGTATTTTGTAATTTCTTTGTGTTAAAAAACCACAATGCTGTACTTGGCTGGGTGGACGTAATAATTTATATTTGTACTCGGGATTGTCAACAATCCTCGATATATATCTCTCTTTCTTGCTTTGCATCTTTTGTCACCTCTAAGAGAGACGAAGATGATTTTGTGTGTTTCTTTATTGTGTACATGATAAGTTTTTTCTTCGGTTATCACTGCTAACTCTTCGAAAATTTCGAAGGAAGATTCTTTCAGAGATAAGAAATAGTAGACTACATGACTTACATTTGCATAAATTTCACAATGTCTTAAATTGTCAGCGATTGCAAGCAATTCTGTTTTAGTTTCTGTAGTTTTTGGCCAAAGATATTTGGAATTGATTTTGTAGTAATGATGTTATGGATGGTGTCGTCTGCCAACTAGTTGCAGGCGAGCCAAAAGTCAGTTCGAAGAAAAGTAATACTATAGGCTTAGTAATCAGATGGCTCTCTTCGCCAATGCATAAACATTCACCACTTCCTCGTGGGCTAAGCTGTTGCTAACGTGATGAAAATGGCTCTTTTTGCATTCTTTTATATTCTTTGATATAACAGAAATTTTATTTTGGACGAGATTCGCCTCGTCGCGACGAGGAACGTTAGAAAATTTGATATTGCATAACTTCACAATGCTCATATTTTAAAATTCGTTGCATCCTGAATATTCAGGGTTCAGCAGAAAAGACAATTTAAGCTGATAAAATATTAAAGCTTCTTTTGAGCTCGAAAGTGCGGTGTCGCAGGCTTAAAGATGTTTTACAAAGCAATTAATTAAGGGCTTTTCGTTTGGAAGTCCAAGCAGGTTTTTAACTGAATTGTTTAGCTTTTAAGTTTATGTAGTGTTGCTAATATTTCCACGTCTCGGATACAAACATGGCACCATCGATTGTGAATAGCTTTTCAGTTGTGTGTGGCTTCCTTCCAAGATATTTCTCTCGCAAGCTGTCGGTGGCTTCATCTAAGGTTGTAAGGAAGTAACCTTTGTCTGTATCTTATTTTGTCATTTCCTTGTGACAATGAGGAGCGAAAGAGCGAAACACGATATTTTGAAACCGTTCTGTCTGTAGGCAACTTTGCATCACAAATGATATCTTTTGTCCATTTGGACTGTGGTGTTATTTGGAGTGTGAAGAGAGTGTTTTCAACAAATTTGGGAGGATACAGTTGCATTTTATTGGAAATATTTGTGTGACAATCATAATATTGTGATTTATTTCCCAGGTTTTTATCTGTACATTCACAAATTTCTTTCTTTGTGTTTGACCTTGACAATCTACCAAATTCAACGGTTTCAGATATCAGAAATTGATAGCCAGGTCTTTAAGATAAAGACTGAAAGTACTTTGCATGAATTAGAAATTTGGCCACTACTAATCACAACAATATATTCGCCAAAAACAGCGTCAATACAAACATACTATAGTCAACTGCTTGTGAGATCTTGAATTAGCATCTCGGTGCACATGTAAAAAGTAAGCCATACAGTTTGGCAAAGGTTTGGCTCGTTTCATCAGCTTTATGACAGGTGGTTCCAAGTGCCATCTGCTTATCAATGAAAGCTTGGCGTTACTAATGTGATGTACCATTTTGAGATGACTTGTTGTATTCAGTCAAAAAACCACCCGTTCGGTGAAAATCATGATACCCCTCTTTAATTGGACTGACAAGCAATATTTATATATAAAAAAAGTGGATAGGCAAAAATTATACATACATACATGTTACGTTTTAAATTTGGTTTGGAAATCCGTGAGCTAATATTCCGTTCTCTGCGTAATTCGGGAAATTATCTTTATGCTTGTGTTATTTTTTGGTCGAAGATTTGAGAAGAAACCTTGGTTTTAATGTACATTTCAGAGAAACTTTTTATTACATACGCAAGATTGCTCCAAATTCGCATATTTTTATTTCCTCGAGAAAATGCAAGTGAAATTTATAACTAATCTTAATTGGAATCCTCTGTAACAACAACTGAGAACAATTTCCATGGTTGGACAAGCGGTCTTTTCAAAGACTTTTCTTGAATAGAATTTGCCCCAGGTTACTCGATGTGACGTGGATTCCATCTTTTTTTAATTTTATGCATTAAAATCTTCATTCTTAAACTAACTTAGATTGAAACGAATCTTCTGACATAACTTTCAGAACCTCTCTCGATTTTCCTTTTCATTCTTTCAAATGTACTTTTCTACAAGGTCTAAAAGATTTGTTTCCTCACAAATCTGTCGATGCGGAAATTCCTTTGGAAATGTTTCTTTGAACCCACCTGGGACTTGTAGCACCGTTTGTTTTGTTCCACTTCAATGAGCGAAACTTTATTGTCTGTCATAAACGTTTTGACGTTAATTAAAGCCGCTTGTATTCCAGAGAACTCTGGAGCGACAAAAAGAAAACTTTGTTGTGATAGTAACCAATGCAAACTTTACACTCATCGACTTTGCGGTTGTAAAAAATTAAATTATACGGCGTGACATTCGTTGGATCGGATATTTCCTTATTTTCTTTTCGCAAGTGTCAAAAATGTTTCTTGAACTGGTTCGGACCTCTCTAACTATTACCTATTCCTTCAACTGCTCGGTTGTGATTTGTGCTCTCATCCATCAATGTTAGCGTTATTAAATTAACCTGTTGATTGTTTTTTTTTTTAGATTTTGACAGCGGCCCTCAAGAAGTCCCAGACCCCGTGACAACCTCTGCAAGCAATTCTCTCTGTAAGTTTACACTGCACGTTAACAAACAAACAAACAAACACACACACACACGAACAAACATGGCCTACGGATTATCAAGTTTGTAGTGCAATAGTTTATAAAAATTCACTATGCATTCCACGAATAGCTGTGCTTTCACCAAGCTGTCAACTTCATACTTCACCAACACAATACCGTTGGAAATGTTATGAAAAAGTGTGCAAAAACTGATATCCTGCTTAGTAACAACGCGCGATTGATGCATCGCGACGCGTGCGAGCGAGAAGTCGCGCGCGGAAATTCATCCTTGGCTGTGGTGAAATAAACATGTTTTCTTTCTTTCAGTTGCCCAAAACAACCCTGTTACAGAGGTTGGTGGTTCATTATCCAAGCCCCAAGCCAGTAAGTATAAATATATTTTTTTTATGTATAATTCTTATCCTGACCCGCCCTACCCCCCCCCTTTGTATCTTCTTTGTGCGTTGGGTGATATCACAAATTGGATATGCACCCCTCCCCCATTCATTTTGTCATTGGTGAATACAATACACACGCTACAGGCAATCGGGAAGATAGCTATAAATTAAATAAATTGTCATACATCACATTGAACACATGTGACAAACCGTGGTTAAAGCATGCGACTGTCTGCCTAAGTCCGAACGGAAACAATAGGCAAGCTTCCAAAAACAAGCCGACAAAAAAAAAAACGTTATCTTTCATTCTTACACCACAAACGATTTTGTGTTTATGCTTTTGAGTTTAACGAACAGATCTCCTTCTGTTGTCAAGTCCTACATGAAAATTTTACAAACAAGCTCACGAGTATTGTACATGAATTATGAAGTCCACAAGCCCATGAAAGTCGTATGATCACGTTATCCCGTGATAAGGAACAGCTCACAGTATGATGTAAACAACAAAGCACGTAACATTCCGTGCCCTTTGATTACATTGAACTCTGAGTGATGCACTGTTGAAAAAGTCAGTAACGATGGGAAACTTACGCTGACATTAGCCCCTTCGGACAGGAATATATTCACCAGAGCGATCACACTTCGCATGGTCTAAGTTTGAAACGTTTCTCATTTCAGGTTACACAAGTGCCTTTTCAGTTGGAGGTTATGCAGCACATAACTCTGGTGCCAACGGCTTTTGTGCCTCTCGCCTATGGCCTCCAAATGGAAATTACCCGCCATGTGTTCCATCTCTCAATGGATTTCCTCCACCGCGTCAACCCCCTCGCTCCTTGCCAGAACTTACCAGGAACAAAGACCTCCCTCCGGTGCCCCCTTTGATCAAATCTCCGGATCTTCCTTCCCCCAGTAGTCCCTTGGACAACTTCCCAAGGTCTTCACTACAGACACTCTCCCTAGCCGCCAGCTTTCTCGAGAAAAGCAGCCCTCTGTTTGACCAGGCACCGCAAATAAAGAAAGCACCCTCTGAGGAACGCAGCAGCCGAGGTGCGCGTTATGAAGAGCCCTTCTCGGCGGGCAACCATGGCGATAACGGACTCTCTCCTCCCGACGTGAAGAGACCTAGATTAGATACTTCGTTTGTCACCCACAAGAAGTTACCATCGAACGGGGTCCAACCTCCCATAAAGCTGACACCAGCCGAGTCTCAAGTGCCTTTTCCGGCAGATCTTTCCCCAAAATCGTGCGGGGACAGTGATTATGGAGAAGAACGGGTATCTCCATCACCCCCGACGTCTCCCTACCCCAGGGGGTCCCCGTCGCAGAGAGGTTGCGACTCTCCTGTAGCTCGGAGGAGGAACAGCTCCAGTTCAACAGATTCTGGCACTGAGGACGCCAAAGATGGTGAGTTAATTTATCACAGAGGTTTCTATGTGATTGTGTTTAATGTTCTTATTTGCTCATCACTGTTTTTTTGTCTCTCTATGAAGGTAACCGCAGTCGAAGCGACTCTTCAACTAAAAGTTCTAGCTCAGGTTCGCCAGGTGCAAAACCCCGTGTTGGCCGAAGAAAACGTAAGTTTGTTTTTTCTCTATATAACTATTTTTTTTTAAGGTACACAAATGTTTAAAACAACAAACATAAATAACTGTCCACTAATATGACACTTTTTAGCGTCTCTATATAAAATTTCCAATATATCAGACGCGAGCTTTTTGATTGGCTGAAGAGATGTGTAGTTCGTGTCTGTTCAAGCACTCTGTGACGTCAAACTGTATTTTGTTGGCTTAACTTCGTTAAACAAATAAAAAATGAAGGCTTGTTTAGTAAGGAAAGTGGCAAATTAACGTAAAATAAACTTACAGGTTCCCTCAACATTCGTATAGCTTAAAACGTAGTGTTTAAGTGCATTATTCCAATGAATTTTTATATTTATTTCAGAAACAAGATCTCTGCATCTGTGGGAATTTCTTAAAGAGTTGCTGGAAAACAAGGACACATGTCCTCGTTACATTACATGGATCGAGCGTGAGGAAGGCATTTTTAGGCTTGTTAACTCAGGAGCCGTTGCCAAGCTCTGGGGTCAACGAAAGAACCGCAGAAACATGAATTACGAGAAGATGAGCCGTGCATTGCGTTATTATTATGAGAGGAAGATTCTTGAACGTGTCCCTGGACAGCGTTTGATCTACAAATTCGCTCCTGATACGATGAAAGAATGTAACTTCAGCTTCATGAAGAAGGATGGTTAAAAAGAAAAAAAAAGTTGGAACGTTTTTGTACACGTAGTGTAGCTTCATTAATATGAAATTGTGATTTTTTCAAACGTGTTTATTTGTTCGCGGATCTGTGACATCACTTCCGGCCCCCGAAAAAATATTTGAGAGAAAGCGCTGAATGTGCAGTGTTTTTTGTTGTGGAAGGTTGTTAGCAATAGAGTACAATGTTAACTGAGCACGGACGTTATGTGCGACGCACCCAAAACATTAGGAACGTTTGCATTATCAGAAATCTCGTCAAGGAATGACGTTGCTAAATTCTAATACTTTCTTCAAAATTTTATTTATAATTTTTCCATTTTTCAAGTTCAAGCACAATCTGTACAAAATTGCACCTTCCACGACAAAATCTTACTTAGGTCTTATTTCGTCTAGGCACTTTCGTCTTTTAGGGGGAAGTTCCAGGCTGTTGGAGGGGATGTTACAGAAACGTGCTTAACTTTCACAAAAATAAATTATGAAGTGAAATTCAGTCGCTAGGTCGGCTTGTACAAGAGGATCTTTGCGACTGGGAGTTCATTTTCCTCTCGAACGAAAAGAATCTAACTAGGAACCTTTTATAAAGAAAAGAAACTGAGATAGGTGAAGGATAAGAGATTTTCGCGTTACAGGGCAAAATACAGCGCACTTCTGATGCGTTGTCTAAAATTCAACACTTGCAAGTCCACCGGGACTGAAGAATTGACTATTTTTTGTCTCGTTGTGTTTGTAAAAGTTGTGCTTTTGTTGCAAACCTCCGTGTAAATAGAACTGTATTAGAATAACTTACTACGTAATTGCACTACATTCGAATTCGGAAAAAAGTACAAAACTGTCCGGGAGGCGGTGGATTACGAAGGGTAAAGATTTACTTTCCTTTCCTCTTTTGTGGCAATTTTTTCCAGGTTTTTTCACATTTATTAGTGAGTTATAGCGAGAGAAAGTTTGTTGTATAGTTAGTTTTCTCGTTTGCTGATGTCGGTGTGCTTACAGCTTTCATCGTTTTAGCAAAGCGATAATAATTATTGAGTCCAAAAGCAACACGATCCCTATGTGACTAATATGCGTACTTTAGACGAGCTTCATTATCTAAGGGTCATCCATGGACACCGTTTATTAAAACGGCAATTGAGTATAATTTACTATTTTTATTCACATTAAAAAACCATCTCCTCTTCGTATTTAGAATCTTCGTAAAACTGATGTGTTGTCTTTGGATTGCAAGACTGAGAAAACCGAATTCAATATAAACAAAACCGTAACGAAGCTCGTCTAAAAGACGGTAAATGAATGACAGCTTAGAGTGACCTCTCCTCACAACCGTTGTTTGAGTAGTTGCGTGACGTAATTATAGTGTTGTGCGACAGACCCCAAAAATTGCTGTGATGGATTGATGTGTCGAAAGTGTTGGGCAGAAAATTGAGGAGATTCGAATGGTTTCGTGTGTATAAAAATGCTCATTTAATAATCTCATTATTTTAGTTTGATATAAGTATATCACAGTTGACAAAGTTTCATGCATGAGTCAAAAGCGATGTAGCCTTTATCACTATACAGTTACCACTGTTTCTTGTTAGTGATGGATGGTTAGTTTTCACAATAAATACCAATTTAGCTTGATTAGATATTTTTTGTATGAAAAAGAAAGAAAAAACTGTTTGTAATAAACATTACATTATTGAAATATTTGCTTGTCATCTTTCTTGTCTTGGTCTCTTGTGTTATATAGTTTGCTAATAAACATTTTTCTCAGTCCCTTGTGTAATAATTATAGTTTGCTAATAAAATTTTTCATAGATAAAAAGTTTATAAAAATGGAATAAATTTCTTTGATTTATCAATAATAGGAATAGATTTTTAATAACCCGTGCCTTGTAAAGGAAGTGATTCTGTTTCTTTCCTGTAAACCCTACTGATAGTAGTAAATAATTCTAAAGAAACACTCTGCATCCTTACTTGCACAAAAATAATAATTGTTTTGACTTCATGAAAAACATCAGATCACGATATCAGCTGGGGAGAGGGACAATCCCAGATAAATGCAGTGAGGTGGCACTACAAACTGACAGTCTGGCCTGCAGACAGTAATTTGAAAAACCTTGCTCGACCTCTTTGAAGACACCTACACCTAACCATAGCCTCTGAAACTCTTGTTTCAAATGCTCCTTTCCATTTCATTTCATTGTGAAATAGTTAGGATTATCTTGTCTCAATGCCATTTCACTATTACTTTCAGCTTGTTTTTTGCTAATTCCTTAAACCTCTTTGCTGGGTAATGTATCAGTGTTGTAAAGAAACCTTAGTTGTTACTCACCTTTTGGAGTGATAAAATTATGCAAGAGGACTGGAACAGAGATGCAATGATTCACTGAAGTCTGGGGAGAGCAGGTCACTCAAACTTCTTTCCAGTCCTCTACTAGCCCCTCTACAGTCCAAACTGTACCTTCTACAGTTGAACAACTTTACTTAAGAGCTGCCCACAACATTACCATTTTCAGAAAGATTCAAACAGGAAGCTATGACAACAGCCAAGCAAAGGAATTGAAATCTGTTCAAAGGTGATTCCCTTGTTTCTTATGTATATTCTACAACTTAAGGTGGCTGAACAGTTTTTGATACCTTCGTTTCTTTCACCATTTTCTCTAAAACCCTTGATCTCTCGGTCACCAACACTGGCAGCAAGCAAGTTAACAACACAAACTTTGTTTTTTTGATAGTTAAGCTGACATATGTGCCATTGCCATGGCGACATGAATAGATATAAACAGGCAATTAAAATCGGTTTTGTTTCTTTGTAGAAAATCTAGTCATTAGATTTTCTTTATAATTTGCATGCAATGAGCTTTTAACGATACTCACAAGTTAA